TTCAGAGTTTATCAGCAATAGTCCTGCGGCAACTTCATCTTTACGTCCTTTTTTATACCTAACAAATTATAATAAAATAATAAATGTTTTAAGCGACGAGACAGAATTCAATTTGCATACTCTCTAAAATTGCTCTAGGCATATTCTGTAAATGTTATTAGATTCTATGTAACATTAGGCTAATTTCATTTAAAACGGTCAGTAGTTTTGGCGTGAAAGCAAGACACACAGACAGAGTTACTTTCGCATTTATAATATTGTATGGATTATAAAAAAAAATTGAAACTGGCGTTTCCAACGTCTTTACTTTCTACATTTATTCCAGTGAATGTTCATTGATTTGATATGAATAAATCAGTTAGAAAAAAGAATCAGACAAAATTTAAACAAAAAGTACTAATAATATTACTAATAATAGAAATATATTTTAGTACTTACCTGTTTGTCGGAACAAAGGCCGTACCTACCACAAAATTGTCTGAAAATAAGGCTATTTGTTATAACGTTAATCTGTAATGCTTAAAAGAGATTCTTTTATGGGGCTCGGGAACGTCGTGAAAGACGACTTTATTTGAAATTGTAAACGTGACGTCGCCTTTAACCCTTCAGCTATTATATGAATATTCCATGAAAAATGCGTCAGACTGCCAACCATCAAAATCGTGTCAAAGTCAAAGTCAATTTTTTTTTATTCAACATAGGCTTATTAAGCTCTTATTGGTTCACTTAACTAGATCTACCGGTGAAGAACCAGATTTTTTTTATAAATCATTAAAGTATATACACAAAAGTATTAAATTAGCAGGAGCCAGGGGACTTGCAAATGTAGAGCAAGAGTCATTTCCACAATGTATTCCTTGATAATATAATAGGCCCTTTCCATTAAGGTAGCTTTTACAAAAATTTTGAAATTATTTGCACTTAATTGTTTGTGGATGTTACCTAGTCTATTATATAAGTTAATACATCTACCAAGAAACGATTTCCTGGTTTTAGCTAGTCTAAACCTCGGTATTTCTCGCGTGTCGCCACAGCCCCGACGGGATGTGGTATGTTTTTTGTAAAAAGGTGTGTGCTATTTCATAAATACACGATGTTCTCAAGTATGTATAACTACCAAGCCATAGACAGACCGTATCGCTTGCTTTTGCAATACAAATATCGTGTCTAAACCGGATGCGGATCCTCAAAGTAAGATACCATAAGACATAACACTGTAAAAATAAGCATAATAAACTAATTTTGCTGTAGCCTCATTTGTTAGTTGCTTGATCTTGCGTATGGCAAATACGGCAGCGCTCAAATGTCGAAGATATTTATCGATTTCTCGTGTTGTACTTTTGTGAAAATCAGTAGTTTTAATCCGAACAACTTCTCTGAGCGCTCACCGTGGTCATCCTGCACATTTCATGCGTCCGTTTTAGGACGAATGTATACTTAAATCTTAGACTATATACACATCTTGATTCCGTGTCGCCTCATAAAATATGGTGTTTTATTGGAACCGCTTAGGTATTCTCGTGTGCGTTAAGCAATTTATTTTATCCTTGCGTCCATTCTGTTTGTGTACGTTGACAGGAATACTGTCATGATCATCATCATCATTTCAGCCTCTTTGAGTCCAATGTTGAAAATAGACCTCTTCTACAGATTGCAATGAAGCACGACCCTGAGCCACCTGCATCCATCGACTTCCCGCACACTTGCATAGGTCATCACTCCATTTATTGAGGGCCGTCCTACACTCTGATGATATGTACTCCTCCGAAACGGCTCGACCGATTTTCGTGAACTTTTGTGTGCATATCGGCCAGGGTGGAGAATCGGACAACATTTTTTTTTCATTCCCCTAAATGTTAAGGATGGTCCACCCCAAACATTTTTTTTACACTACAAATAATTTATATGTCAATACAACGTTTGCCGGGACAGCTAGTAACTATGTATCACACATATTTGCAGGGAGCCTTAATGGCTGTTACTTTACTTTACTTAATGGTTCTGGAGCGAGCGGTGGTAATCAAGTTTATCCAAGTAAAGTAAAGTATCAGCCTATACATGTCCCACTGCTGGGCAAAGGCCTCCTATGTACAGAGGGTATCAGGGCGAGTTTCCTCACGAAGTTTTCCTTCACCGCTGAGCACGTGATATATCAGCACTTAAAATTAACAATTTCATTGGGGCTGGTACAGGTTGCTCTAGAATATCGAATTAAAGGTGAGCGACCGGACACTGAGCTATTATGGCTCTTAATTTTACAAGTTATCTATGTAATGAGTATAAGTTTATCTATGTGATGACTTTTTACAAGCATTAAAGGATCTCACGGCAATCGCTTATTGTATGATATTATGTAATCAAAATAATTCACTTTTCAGTTCTTTCAGAAATACGATTAAGAGTTTTCATCGCCTGTGGGGAGAATTATTGTCTAATCAGGCTAATGTCGGAAAAGTGGTCGTGTTAGAAACATCCTTTATTACAACCAAGGCTGTCCTCGAAATAATACCGTTATCCGATCATAGCGCATGAGTATCCATCAACATAAATGAAAGTCTATCAATTTCGACTGTTGTATTTATTTGATATTATAGCTCAATTATTTGTGTTTCAACAGTTATTTTACTATCTAGAAATTTTTGTGAAATTAATATTTCACTTTATATTGTAGGTATAAATATATTCAGTTCTTTATACTTGTTATGTGTATGATGCGTGTATGCGTGGATGCGTGTGTCAGTCTGTGTGTGCATACGGATGCCCTGAAACCATTGTGAGGGTCTAGAAGCCTTGATAGCCCATCGTACGGGCGGTCGCTTTTAGTTCAATATGAGTATCGAGCAACCTGAGTTCAATCCCCGGTGTCGGCCAATGAAATTATTAATATAAAGTGCCGACTTATCACAAACTCAGTGTTGAAGGAAAACATGATGAAGGTTACTGCATATTTTAGAAATAATAAGAAAAAAGATATGTGAAGTTCGCTGTTTCGCAGTGGAGTCGCGTTGTGGACTATTCTCTAATACCCTGTCTACAGAGGAGGCCCGTGCTTTGTTTTTACGGTATAGAACGACATATATAAGGAAACGCTAATTTTATGTACAAATAACTGACAGAATTAGTCTGTCTTCCAGCAGAGAAAGAAAAAGTATGGACTTTAGTTACTGAATGTGTATGTTACTTATTTTCAAAATAGTATTCATTACGTGGATATAATGATATGAATATTTTGTTACCTATGTTTATATGTAAAAAGGCCGTTTGGGTTTTGGCAAAGGTAAAATTTGATTTGACAATAAAGTATAAAAATAAAAGACGGTTTGACATATATATTTTCATCCGCGAATGCATGTACAAAACATTACTTTCAAAAATGTACCTAAGTACAAGACAATGCTTTGAGATTTAGCAAAATAGTAAAACAAAAGTGAGTGATACCATATAAATATTAAATGAATGATAAATATGGGATATATTAGATATCAGCAACTATAGAAAGTAGGTAAAGAGCAGATGTAATTTAAACTTACTATTAAAACAAGATGACCCACTTACAGCGAACTTTACCTAATACTATCTACTTGCTAGGTTCCAGTTCAAGGGAAATACACAGAGTTGTAGTCGTTGCCACGAAACTTTATTGTGTGCTGTTCCGTCAGGATTATATTATCGTATATATTGTACTTCAGTTCAATAGATTTAAAGGTTTCTACCTTAGCTTCTCCTAAGTAACTTAAACTTTTTTTAATTATACTTCCTCATAGTAAACAAGAAGTTTACTTTAAATACAGCAAATCGTTTATTTAACGAAAATAAATTTTAATTGCAGTAAAATTTTGATGGAATTTTTTTCTGTTGACCTTATAGTTATTGTAACTAATTAACAAATTGCCAACACAGTCATTAAAAACAGCATCCACTTTAGGTTTTGAGTTCTTAATGCAAAGTAGTATTTATTATACTACAACTATAATGAATTGGGTTAACTAACTTTTTTTTAAAATAAGGTTTATTCTGGAGGCCTTTTTTATAAATTCATTCGCTGTACATAGATTGATGGAGATTTCAACGAAAAGCTTATAAAAATTTCGTATTCGTTAAAAACCTTTCTAGATGTTTCGATATAGACACTAGTGTTTATTTCTAATAGCAAAAATAGTTTTGTTTATTATGAGAAAAATATTAAGTAGTGTTTCAAAGCTAAGATTACGTTATTTTTTGCACTGTCATTTTGTTTTATTTTTCTTGTGTTGTAAATGTGTCCTCTCTATTCTTAATTTTGTTTTCCCTTAAACCAAAATTATTATATAACCTTCAGGATACCGTGACAACCTCCATTTAGCCAAATGTTGTCATGAGTAATTCAAACGTCATGATTAGATGTAAAACAGATAAATATTACCGTATAAATTTTAAATGACATATTAAAACGGCATTATCTTAAAAATAGCTTTATTAACTTATTTATAGAACAATACAGACTTAGATTATTAGAATTACAAACTAAAAAATGATCTTTTGGATACTGGGATACTCTTTGTGATTTTGCTGAGTATTTACTAGATTTGCATACATAAAACGGGTAAATACAGTTATTTATAAAATACACGTACAATTATAACTTAATTAGTAATGAACAAGATACATGTATTGAAATAGAAGAAGTTTTAGTTTTTATACACACTGGAGGTTTTACATAAATTGAAAGTGGTGTAACAAGAATTTATCCTTTTTGTCTTATGGTTGTATCGTACTTTCGCTGTCTATCTTTGAGCATTACCCAAAATGACTCAATCGTACCGAAATTGCACTTATTATTGATTCCTTATTAATTTGCCCCCTCAACGCGGTCTTCATATGTGAGTCGGAATAGAATTAAATTTTTGTTTATGTATCGATTACTACAGATTGTAGTTTTAAATATTTGGCTTTTAAGTGATCGAAGCGAAGAAACCCTTACTGTAACTTAAGGAAAGGATGAAGAAGGAACGGAGAGATCAGTTCCTTATCCGTTGACTGCCAGGCTGGCCATCCTGATACTCGTTGACTCTCTTCTGTTGCTGACCCTGAAAAGTAAGTTTTCATCCGTTTTTAACGAGAATTTCTCATCTGCCTCTCAGCTGGAAGTAGAACGCATTACAAAACATCTTTTAATGGTCCACTGTTGAGATGTAACGTTGCATAGTACACTCGAAAACGAGGAAAGCTCATATTCATGTATTTTATTGGTTTCTTTCGTGCATTAATTAGTGTAATACTATCGCGTTTCGTCTGGTGAGTGAGGTGGCCGGAGTTCATATTCCAAAGGTGGTCAACGCATCTGGATTGCTCGGGTGTAGCAGATGTCCATGGGCGGCGGTATTCACTCGTAGTGGATCGTCTGCTCGCTTGGCAAGTTTTCACATAAAAAAAATTAAGTGTTAGGGCTTACTGGTTTCAAGGTCTGCCCTTCTTCCAGCGGTGGTAAGGTGGTTGTGATGATTTCGCATTCGTCCGTTGGCGGTACCACGCATCTGAGCGATCGTCTGTCAAACACTAACATGGCTGGGCAGCGTTGCAAGCGGGGGTATCCCCCCTGGCACTGCCAGTAGCGGTTGCAGGATTTGCCAAGTGGCACGTTGCCATTTGGATCTTCGTTGCAGAGCGCTGGAATTGAATTTTGTTTGTTTGTTCTAAAGGTATTTAATTTATGAAGGCTCGTTAAGTGATTTCCGGTCTATTATGCTAGGGCGTCGTGATTTTAAGTGAACTGCATATTCTAATATATAAAAATTAAATTTAACTTTTGAAATTTTCTTTTTCTCTTAATTTTTGTTTTTTTTACAATTCTGCTATGGGTCTTAAGCGTAAGATTAACACGCGAACGGACTGTATGGTAGGAAGTTTCATGTTGAATAGGTAGAGTAATCGGCGATAAATATTGCACATCGCCCTTTCGAAAGAGACAATCGGGTGATTTCGGGTTCGTAGAGCATTATTTCTGTCTAACGTTGCTCTATCACTCGTGGCGGGGTGGAAGTTGCCTTAGATCCAAAGGTAATGCGTATTATTAGGGATAACTGTTGGTCTTGGATATGACCCTTTACTGAAAGAAGTGTATTTTACGCGGATTTGGTACATGTTCGTTTTATATTCCCATTACCATGATTTTCAAATTGGAAGAAACTATTTTAACTTGTTAGTTAAATTAAGTTTAAGGATAAATTTAAATTTTTAGTGATAGTCTCTGCACTCAAGATGAAACTTTGAATTGTGAATGCTTGTAGATAAATGAACAAAAACTTCCGGAGTTGCGAGATTCGAACCTGAGTCTTCCGGTTTCGCGCCCAGACGATTTACCAACTGAGCTAAACGGCCGATGACGTCACGACGTGAAAGTATCTATACATTTATTAACAAAAACTCACAATTAATATATTAAATTTAAAGATAGATACACCTGAGATAACAATGTTTTCAAATTTTAAAACTGTATTATTTATATATGCTTAAATTCAGATCCTATTATGGCTTTTAACGTCTTTCTTCCATATTCGATATTCCAATATTTAATAACGTTATTGTATGTATTAAATATCATGAATTAGTAAAGTGATAGAATACATTAATTAACATCAAATGTAAGTGCTCTTGTAATCTAAAACTAATTAGTGGAACGAGTTTCGATTCCACGAGTAATTAACAAACACCTGGATCATTCACATTTATCTTTGGGCCACACAAATACTTGTCTCTGGAATCACACCTACTAATTCATGCGTCTATTAATTTTTCGCTGTTAAAAAGTCAATGAATAAAGATCGTCGCTGAAGGCCTTTAAAATATACATAGCGATTGCGACTCCGGATCTACGTGTACTGATTTTTATTCTCCAATCGAAACGAACAAATCATTCTAGAACAGTCTTGACAATGACCAACGCGCGGATATTGCGATGCATTGAATTTAAACTCAATAACACAGTTAACGCTCTATTCGTGATTCGATTAATGTTACGAAGCGTGAACGGTGCACCTTATTTAAAGGTTAAACGGATATTTACACAAGGCACGTTGCACGGAATTAACCGATTTATTCCAAGTAACAAAAAAATAGGGATGTTATCTTTTATTGTTATTGGCATTCAATCAAGGTGTATGCAAATTGACTGACTCATCTCATTGTTTTGGGGCTCTGATCAATGAATACGCAAAATACCAATAATAGAATAGAATAATTCAATTGCAACTCTATTACTGTGCACGAGTGGGCAGTATCGTCCGAGGAAGTGTCCCAGCCTCACAAAACGCACGTGAGAAGTAGAAGTATCATATTTCTGAGTTAAATCTGGTGAGTGAAATAACCGAGCCCTAAAGTGCAACACATCTGCAACAACCATAGGGTTGCCGATGTATTACCACCTTTTGATATTGTGGGCCCCTGTTACCGCACTCACCATACGAAACGCAGAAGTATGACGCTCACGCTGTCTTCTGTGAGGTCGTGGTACTTCCCATTCGTTTAACAGCAAAGTCTGCTGGGTGGCCCAACCACATTTTTTTTCTCATTATAAACCTTTTGAGATACTTTTTTATTCTATAATACTTAAACTTTATTTACTACAATACGGTGCCCATTCATATGATTATACCTTTTACCTGTGTAAGAGGCACTCTATCTTTTATATTAGCTGCCCTTAATCTTATCCTATAATTGAGCCTCAAGAGCGTCCCTAAAGAAAAACCACCGACAAGGGACAAATAAAAAAAAATCAATTGCCAATCCATTTACCTTATCGTAAGAGCGGGGTGGCATGACCTCGCACAGAGTTCTCACAAATTCAGGGTTAGTAAAGCTACGGACAACATTTTTAAGGTTTTACAATCAGTAAAATTTCTGGTATGAAGGAAAATTAAATAGTAAAACAGTTTAGAACAAGTTACAATCATGGTCCTCTGTGAACAGATCTAGATATTTTAAATGGCGCATTTTCCTACACACTTTAAGAACAAGTATACGATAGAATGAATTACTTATTTCCTCTAGCTTTACCTCCGAAGGCGTTGCCGACCAATTCCTTAGTAATAGCATTGAATATTTAAACAGGGAGTAGGTCGCTTTAAGTGCGTTTATTATTTACGAATCATGGATCGTACTTACTTAATTCCTGCACAATAGCCACTATAGAAAATCGAGGTCAATGATCCACTACATCTCACAGAATATACTAGGTCACTGATTGACATTCTACCTCTGATTATATAAAATGGATTGTTTACTGAGATGGCTTTTGATCGTCGCGTCCAAGAAATAAATTTACTTTTGCCTTTATTTTCGTCACATTTTAAATGGACGTTGTATTATAGCTCGTGTTTTAATAGAGTTTGATGTTAGTTACGAATCATATAAAAACATTGAAACATTTGAATAGCTCAATTGTTTTATAAAACATAATATCGCATAATTCATCAAGCGTGAGATGGTATTAGATTATAGCGGCAACAGAAATACATCATCTGTGAAAAAATTCAACTGTCTAACTATCCCGGTTCACGAGATAGAAGCCCGGTGACAAACGGAAAGACAGACAGACAGCGGTGTCTTAGTAATAAGGTCCCGGTTTATCCTTTGGGCACGCAACCCTAAACAATTGCAGCAAACGGGAAGAGTATGATCGCGCGCTTAATAGCTGTATACTCACGATGCTTTTGACAGCCGTCGACGTTTTCGGGCCAGTCGCACGAGTGAGCGTTCTCGTTGTAAAGCAGCCCACCGATGCACAGCTGCTCCGTGGCGGTCCCGTTCCAGCATGTCCAGTACCTCGTGCACGAAGTCTCGTGGCCGAAGATCCCGTACAGCCAGTCGCAGTGCTCCGTCCCGATGGGGGGGTCTGTGAGAATACTTTTGTTGAAGAAATACATTTGTACAGGCAGCGTACCCGACTGGAATCTTTGGAAAAGTAAGATCAGATGAAGGTTTAGCAATATATACATACTCTTCTAGGATAGACGTGAATTATTTTTACTACTCCACTATTGTAGGGCCACGGAACAGTTTCTGCTTTTGCATGCTTAAGTATTGCCTTGAGGACTGACGTGGAGTAGAATTGTTTTACGTTTCGAATAATTTTATGCTTTTTATTTCGTCGTATGAGTGAGGTAACCAGGGTGGGTAGTTCATAAAGGTCGGCAACGCATCTGCAAAACGTATGGTGTTGTAGATGTCTATGGGCCGTGGTAATTATCTAAAATAAGGTGGACCACCTGCTCGCTTACCAACTTTTCACATAAAAAATATAATAACAAATATTGTGTTTGTTTAGTGACAGTGGTGGATTAGAGGCTGTCGCGATTCAAAACGGTTTCAGAACTCATTGGAATGAAAAAGGGAGTTTCGCGTGACTTATGTTAATATTTCACCAACTCGAATTTCAGCTCCGTTTAAGCAACTTTTTTGGTACTAAAAATAAACTCTTACTAAAAGTCACACATCACACATCACACTTTTGTACCGTAGGCGTTTTGTTTAAATTACTTACACACAAATTAACACTACAGCATATGGTTAGTTCAATTTTCAAACTTAAATTCAATGTTAAAAAAAATCTCGCTGCAAAAAAAACCTTGGATAATCGAATTAATTAAAACTTCTCACCCTGTAACGGACTACTTTCATTCAGACTGGATTCACATTAATTCTAATAAAAGTTAATTGGGTGCGCAAATTAAATATTGAGAGCAGCTTTAATTTAAATGTTACTGACTACGAGAAAACAGATTAGAATTGTTAATTAAATAATAAAGGTGAAAAGAATGTTGATTGTTTATTGTCATTTTCTTTTTCATGATCCGGATACCTGAAGGTCCGTCAAATTTTATTAGTGCTTAGGATATTTATTTGAAGTGTTTTTTTACTGACTTGATTGGTATTTGGATTTGACATATCGAGCATCAATTTTGCGGTTACTTGGAAGAGAAAGCCAAACTGGCTTCTAAACAGCCTAGGCAGAGCGAAGCAGTATTTTCTGACTGTTTTTTTTTATGGAGAAAATAAAAGACTGTGTTCACTGTGTGTTTTTCGGGTAACTTTTTGCCACACACAACCAAGTTGTGAATCAGTTGTCGCCAATGGTATTTCCGGACCGATACGACTTAGGGACCTTCAAGAAGAGAGCATATTCCTTCCTCAAAGGCCGGCAAAGCATTTGTGTCCGTGGGCGTCAGTGAACCCTTACCACCCGTCTGCTCGATGCCTCATTTTTCATAAAAAAAAGTACAATTTCTTAGCATAAAATGTAGAGAAAACTTTTTTTATGTGAGAATGTGGCAATCGAGCTGGCGGTTCACCTGATGGTAAGTGACAACTGCCACCCATGGACATTTGCCATACCCGTAGGCTTGCAGATGCGTTACCGCCTTACAATAAATGGGCCCCGGCTACCTCACTCACCTCTACAGAAGTACTTCCTCTTCTCGCTGGTCTTATTTAAGGTCGTGGTACTTACCCGGACGGACGTGCCCATTCGTGCAGCAGCGAAGACTGTTGACTGCAAAGCTTTGTTGTGTCCTTTACAAACAAATTGAAAGCCACTCACTTATCTGAACCTTCGGATATTCGCAGTAGTTAGATCTCCACGGGTAGTCGCAGCCTTCGGTCACGCCCCTATGCTTGCCGGCGAAGACCAGCCCGTTGGGGCAGTCGTACTGCACGGCCTGCCCGTTCTCGCACTCCCAATACTTGTCGCAGTATTTGTCGTCCGCCACCACACGCGACTTGATCTTGCACGGGTCCTCGACCTGCGCGCACGACGCGACCGCGGCGCATGCGAGAAACGCTGTTGGCAAGAAAAGAACGTTCGATGTGATTAATTTGAATTTAGAATGTCATACAATTTTTTTATTAGTATCCTTTAGCGCCAGTACTCATATATTTTTTATGTTCCATGTACCGAAACGAATTATGCACAAAAATCATTCGTATTTTTATTTAAATACTTTCTACGGCTAATATCTAAAAAAAATTTGCTGGTTCATGTAAAAGGTAGCTTTCGAAATTGCTAAAAGATATTGAATAGTTAATTAAAAAGAAAAATCTACTCATTAATATTATTTTTTTGTACATTGTCAAGCATTTTATATACTCAAAACTGTATTCTGCTTCATCTTTATTATTTGTCAGGTGATATTACACTGTACAAATAATTAACACTATAATAACAATAAAGATATTATATAAGATTACTGTTGCAATTTATTTTTTTAGTTTTGTAAGTAAATTACATTTACTGTTTATGATTTAATTATCAAAGGTACAACTTAACTGGCTTTTACAACTTATAAATGAAACATTAAGTATTGTAAACTGTATATTTTACGAATAAATTAATAAATAAAATAAAATATTTATTCCTAAATACTGTCGTAATTGGTACCACCATTTTATTTAAAATTTTCTAATTAACAATTCTAACAAAAGAGTTTTCTTATTTATGGATACCCATAGAAAAATGCAATACTAAGAGTAAAAATTGCTTTATACTGATTAATTGTAATTAATTGTACTTGATTTTACAATTTTTAGTGTTATATACGAAATATAATGACTATTTTTATTAACTGACTTATTTAGATTTGAGGTATTTCAAATAACAAATGTAAAGCATTTGCAATTAGTTTGCTTGAACTATTTGCCCTGAGAATATGACAAGCCTCACACGTATGACCTCCAGTATGCGATCTAGTTTGTAATAAATTACATGTTGTATACATTTGATAAAGTACAATAATTTGAACCGTGACGTAATATCTTGTCGACAAATTTAATGAGTTGTATATTACGGTATATATTAAAATGCCGTTTAAAAAGGACACCATTCTCACTTTCTTGAATAAATCACAAATTTGCAAGAAAATTTGAAAGTTTACCATGATTTCCATCCATGTAAACATATGTTAATTACACCACAGTGAATATGATTCTAAGTTTCCTGTTTCACGCAGACCCGCTGTGGTCGCAGGTTTGAACCTCAAAGAGTGATTTTCTCTTTTAAGAATTTCCTACATGCAAAACCTACAGTTTTATATTAGGTTCTGAGAGGTAAGGAAAGGAAAGCAGAAGTTATTTTTGCTTACCCAGTTAAACATTAAAAATTGTAGAAAAAAGTACGAAAAGTGTTTAGCCGCTGTGGGAATCGAACGCACGTCTTCGGGATTCCGGCCCTGACACATTAGCCTTAGCTAAGCGGCCACACCGACGACGTCAACGTCCGGCCTCAACGTCTTTTGTCTACATTGTTTTTTAGCATTTGAAGCAATGCTTGGCGCATCCATTGTTATATCCTTTCCAGCATACAAACAGACCTCAGGGCGCGAATCGCGAAGACGTGGGTTCGATTCCCACAGCGGCCAAACACTTTTAGTACTTTTTTCAAAAAAAATTGTAGTTTATTATTAAGTGAAGAGATTAACAATACAAAAATGTTTAAATATCCAGTTATAGTTTCAAGGTACATAGCTTTTTACTTTATCTAGAACTTACTACAGGATTCACCTAGAATCTAAATTATTTTTTTTAAATATTATGAATAAATTTTAAGCTAATTTCCCTAAGGTCCCCTCGCTATTACATTTTGAAGGTTCCGCATGTAATATTTTTGTACAGAGGCAAATGTCTGTAGAAACCGGCATCGTTAGAATTAATGAAGTTTGAAAAAATGAATCGAAATGGCGTTTGCATAAGCGAAAGTTGAACATTAACGCGTTCAATATTACGTTTAGTCATAACTGGCTATAACCGTTTGGATTTCCCGCGCAAATCGCTTTGATGATTATGATTTACTTAATTTTCTTTCATCAGTTATTTCAAGTTCCCTTTTGATTTAATGGGGTGTTTTGAAAGTGTTTCCTCTAAAAATGCATGTGGTTGATATTTTTTAAAATATTTTCATACCCTCGCAAATTGCCTAAAGGTTTTTCGAATATCAAAGATGTCGCTCATTCAACTAAATGTCGAATGATATGACATGTTTTGAAACTTTTATCTGACATGATATGTGTATTTCTTGCAGTTTAGTATTTACATAAAAATGAGTTGATTATAGATAAATAAGACTGAACCTTCTTTCTATAAAAGTTCACAATAAAAATAATTATGGTCGTGATTGACAGTGTTTTAAATCTACTGTTTTTTTTTGTGCATTCCGACTTCAATTAAATATTATACTATATAATAATTTGCTTACGGCGGAGTTGCTAAGTCATTTTCTTCGACGCCGGGGGTCGTGGGTTAGATTCCTACATGCGACAAGTATTTGTGTGGACCACAGACAACAGTTTTGGATGTCGGTGTATGTTTCCTAGAAGGATTGACGTCAGGCAGGCGGCTGCTCGTAGAAAACCTAGCCAAAAGCGCTAATAAATTGATTCACATGTCGCGCCGACCCTACCTAGCTGCGATAAGGGCAGAAGGATGAAGATGATGAATAATTTGTTTACAGCTGTTTTAACTAAGAATAGTAAAAACAACTGTAACAAAAATGTAAGTGCAAAGAGAAATCAAAGAGACCGCTGTTTGTAAAACATTTAGTGTCGAGAAAAGAAATTCAAAAAGTACCAATACCAAGGTAAAACGGTCCGTAAGTTTACGTAAAACAAAACAAGCGAGCGGCATAACAAAATATCTGCCCAAAAGATCATCACGCGTGAATGCCCCATTGTATCGAGTTAACACAAAACATGTGTTATATCATCGGAGTACGGGTGTGCCGCAGGGGAAAGCGTTTCCGACTTGCGCAAGCAGACAGTTCGACTTCTGACATTGGCATGTACGGTATTTGTATAGAGCGGTTGGCGGAGATACATACGCTGATTCGACCTAGCCTCATGAAACTGAGTGACCTTTTAAGGAAAATGAATCTATTAGACTTGTGCACACTTCAGGAAATAAATCTTCAAATAAGCTTCGAGTAGTACAGAAATATGTAAAATTTTTAAAGCCGTCATATTTTTTAAAATTTTATAGCGATCAACTGGAGAGGTATCACAACCTTCGTACGTTAACTAGTTGTCCAAACACTCGAAGGTTGGTAACTTATCAGAAACCTATGCCACAGACGAAAGAAACACTTGCTAGTATGTCATTGTCTCTCATAAAAAAAAAAACAGGCATAAATTGAACCTCTAATCGGTTTAATTTTACAAATATTTTAGCAAGATCTTTAGAACAAGCTTAAAGTTACAAATTGTATACCAAAGCCTATTTCCTATTTTATTTTAGAGACCAAGGGGATAGTTCTATTTTTAATAAAATATTTTATAAAAGAATGTTAAAACAGGATAGTGCCTAGGCATTCGTAGCACTGGAAGATATCGGGTGCGAGAAATACAGAGCCTAAAATCTTTTTTAACAATACTCTTTGACCCTTTACAACTCAAATATGTTAACAATTTAACTTGTAAATAAACCGTTGACCTCATTACTGACCGGCCTATTCCGTGACGAAATGGTATAAGAAAATCGCTTTAATGGATAGGCTAGGAGGCATTCACTTTTAAAGACCTAGGTCCCTTTGGGACTATTACGAGAATAGCCTCGGTGTACCTTCGAATACTCTAAACGGCCGACAAAATTGATTGGGCAGGATGAAATGCATTGACATTTCGTTAAAGGTCGCCGCTCCGATCTAAGTGGACGAATAATTGGAACACTTAAGTAAATAAGCTGTACCTAAATGTCTACGTATGTAATTTGATGGCTTTTTGATTAGGCAAGCTTTTTGCTGATCACGAGAATTATTTGGGCCACCATCCCGGTGGATGTGGACCGTCCATAACAATTTAATTTCAGACATGTTTTGATTACGCTTATGTTAATGCTCCACAGCATTGCCTAGCGTTCTGATCTTAATAGATCTGTTTTCATTGTGTTTATCTCCTAACCAGTTCTGATATAAATTCATAAGTGTAGACAGTATCAGAAAATTAATTGGTGGCTGCTGTAAAGTGTTTGAAGCGTCGGAAATTTTAAAATGAATTAATCGCCATGAAATCTATAATTTAGTTTATTTTATAATGTGTATAGCAAAAAGCTATACTTCATGAAATTAATGTATAATCGTGGAAAAAGTGGTGTCAAATTGATTTTTTAACATATCCGTATTCTATTAACATTTCACCGTTTTTTCTCGTTTCCTTGTAATGAGTTTCATAAAGTGTGCTGGTTTATAGCTCGCACATTTCGCAAAACTCTATTGCGTATATGAACCGCGCAAACATCTGCAATCCGGTTTTACGAGATGTGTTGGGTGCATATTTGACTTAATTTCACGAGCGAGCAGAGTTTAGTTATTGATTCTTACTGATTGATAAGGATCCATCAATATTTTAAATTGAAATGAAAATTTTTAGAATCCTATAAATTTTGTCACGCGTTTGATGCCATGCCCGTGTTTACCATTGAAATAATCCAATCCACTATGATCTTGTTTGAATGGAATCTCTTTACTTGCTTTCCTCCATTTATATATTTTTAATTAATATACCTGGTTTTTCATGTCACAGGTTGATACGATACGATAAACTTTCACGTCTATCGGTTACATTTATAAATTTAGAAAACGTAATGCCAGTAATAATTATGCAGTTAAGTGATATAGTTTTCTGAGACTAGCATGTTTGTATTTATGTATGTAGATATAATTCATTGGAATGTTCTACAGTCTAAACATGTTGATGAATTTAAACATATGAAATCTTTTTAGATTCGTGTGAGTCCATTCAAAGGGGTGACATTATATTATTTCAATACGCTAAAAGCAAAAAATTTGAGGAATACTTA